AATGAAAATCAACGGATGATAACTGTGTACTTGGACTAACAATTAAGATTTCACATGCTGAAATGTCTGGTCAGCCCAATCTCAATCAGTGAAATAAACTATTGTTTGTTTTTTTTCAAAGTCATATGGAAGTAGTCCAAATAATTATGACGCATTGCAAGGCTTTTTTTCTCTCTCTGACGCCGTAGGAAGGAGAAGTGAGTTGACATAACATGTATGTTATCATGCAAAATCAACAGTAATATTCCACACTCCGGCATCGGAGTCTTTCCCGTACCAGGAAGAAGAAGAAGAAGTAATGAGTATACTTTTGATTGTCATCGTCACTGCAAATGGATCATTATTACTAGGGGGAATGGAACCAATAAATTGATCGGATCCGATATGAAGTTCCCAGTAACGGAGAACCTCTAACTTTGAGGTAATATTATTAGTGTCGGTGGTCTCACAAATGAATCAGGGTGAATTGCAGGTACATTAATTAGCAGAGAATAGACAATTATCAACTTGTTATTCATTATCTCGCAGTTATTTACGGTTAATTAGCTGTATATATCCCCAAACAGGTGCTCGGAGCTAGTACTAGTCTATGACTTTTAAGTAACAATTATATTTATATTCACAATCAGTGGCGGATCGAAGGGGGATGGGATCCGGGGGTTTGATTCCCCTTTTTGTGAACGATCATTGCATTTAATCAGAGACATATATGTCTCTGATTATATGTCTCTGATTTAATGGAGACATATATTTCAGTGGCGGACCCAGAACTTTTTGTAAGGGGGGGGGGGGGCTGACTGATCTGGTAAACGGACAGAAAGTCACAGGACAAAAAGTCACAGGGCATAAAGTCACAAATTTGATAGGACAAAAAGTCACAGGACAAAAAGTCACAAATAATTTGTTGACAATTGTTTGAATATATAAAAGAAAGATCTTGAAATATTTTCTTTTTATTACATATATTCATTTCTAAGTTTAGGAAATTGTTCATAAGCCTTGATAAATGAAAATTTATTAAATTTTAATCATGCAAAGGATATATTTCTTGGCACAATGAAGCCTTTTAAGTACCAAGCCACTTTGACATTTTGTTTTCATAACAATTATTTGATCATTATTGATATTTATTGAATAATTTTTAATTACGAAGTTGCTTCATATATAATAGTTCAAGAAAAAACAAAAATTTAATTTTTTAAATTTGTGTTTTCTTGTTTAAAGAAAAATAATCTCAAAACTGAATTGTGACTTTTTGTCCTGTGACTTTTTGTCCGTGACTTTTTGTCCTGTGACTTTCTGTCCTACATTCGACTGATCTAAGGGGGGCCCGCTCCAGTCATGCTTCAGTGATTCACTATATAATCAACCAAATTTTTCCCACCAAAGGGGGGGCCCAGCCCCCCCCCCCCTGGATCTGCCTATGTATTAAGACCCCCTTTATCCTAGCTAGAATCGCCCCTGATATTACATGTAAATCAAGTCCCGGGTTAATTACTGTTAGCATAATAGCATAACGGTAATCACAAAGAGTGTGGTAATATTAAAAAGGACGAGGATTTATAAATATACAATTCTTGAAGAGGGGGAGAGTGCACTTCACGATGATCGAAAAAAAGTGCCTTGCATGTTATTTTCATCATCTTGTCTGAAACAGTCTGAATAATGAGCTTCAAGGCGAAGCGCGAAAATAAGTCATGTGAAATACTAACGTTGTACGGACAGACCCTTAAATCCCTCAATGTTATGTCAAATGAATTATAGCGAGGAAAAGTAAATTTAATTTAATATCAAAACTAAATATTTGTTATATTTCGCTCCTGATTTCTCAAGAAATCATAGAATCAATCAATGTATAAATTTCAATTATGCATGTCTGTGTGAGATACATTTCATGAGACCAAGGATTTCTATAAAATCCTTGATGGGACCCTTTATATATATATGTCTCTGATACAGTTTTCTATTTTCCCCGGAAAAAAATTAAAAAATATATAATCTTTTGGGAAATAATCCGATTTTGTTGAATTATTTCCTTTCATAATTATGATAAATCCTTTTAGTTCTTCAATTTTAAATTAAAATAAATATTTCATTTTGATCTAACGACAAACTTTTTAAATAGTAGTGGCATGGTCAGTCAACTGATTAGTTGCATGGCTGATTACCAGTTTACTGGTGACCCAGTAATTTTCCATATGACAGTGGCGTGTACCCTTGGGGTGTGTATAACTTATTTTGAATACCTTAATTTTCTGGGGAACATCCTGTCCACGTGTAATACTTAGTATATATTGCAACAGATGACATTAAACAAATTTTCTTTGTAGCATCGATGTCCATTTCATGTTCAACCACTCAAAATTTTCACAAAAAAGATAATATAATAAAATCATTAAAAAAAAAGATTAAAAAAACACTAGCAAATAAACTTCGCAATGAGTAAATGGGGATTTGTGTTTTAAAGGGCTTATTTCCAGTGAATATATTTTATACTAGATAACTAGACCTGAGATAACTTTTTTTTTGTAATATATATTTTATTATTTTCATATCATTCTCAAATCTCGATCATCTTAAATAAAGATGTATAAAAGATAATTTTGTTATAACTCATAAATATATGGTTAATCATAATTGTTACAAATTATAAAATGGTAAGTCAATGCCCGATGTGCCGCCGTCTGTTGCAAAACAACGATTTAATCTTTTAAATGAAAGACGTGCTCTGCCTTCATCGGAATAGAGGAAAGTCCACCTAGTGTACATTAAAGAGTATCCGTTTGTTATGCTGAAAAAAAAGAGATCATCATAAACTTTTTAGCAGACCTTCTCGTGTAAAAAAAAACAAACTTTTAACTGAATTAAACAAAAAATTATCAAACAAAACTCATTAGAAAACTCATAGTAACATTTTGTTTAGACCTGAGATAACTTATAGTGAGATTATTTATATAGAACAATAAAAAAAAATGTCCAATCTGATACACGTACCTATAATCTGGGACTATTATACTAACTATTTTTTAGTATAATAGTCCCAGCTATAATGTACAAAACTTTGAACAGCTTCAAATATATGGCCTTATCATTGGTAATGTATCATATTTGTATCAATTATTGCTGAACGTGTAACCAAATTAAAATGAAGAAATAGACTCGAAACCGCATTTTTTAAAGATATTTTTTTCAATCCCAAAACAGATAAGAGATATGCAGATTAATAAAAGTCCCGATGAGAAGATTCACTTTCTTTTCTACCGAAGTAAATATATTAACAAAGATTTAGGATATCAATAAATTATTAAATTCATCAATTTATTAAATTTGAACATGTGAACCAAACAACGAAAAAAAATAAACGGGAAATTGGCTATACCTTTTTGGTATTAGCCATGAAACCATATATGTACCAGCCATTTTAACTTATTGTTTTCTTAACCTTTAAAGAATACATTTTAAAATGAACTACTTTATTTATAGTAGTTCAAGAAAAATATATATATATATTAAAAAGTTTTAAATTTTGTCCATGCTGTGCATAAAATAGGGAAAAAAAATAAGGCTGAAAATGCACCAAATATTTATATTCAATATGAATATTCACATTTTGTCTATTACAACAATTTTTGAACAACTTGTTGTTGTAATAGACAAAATGCGAGTATTCATATTGAATATAAATATTTGGTGCATTTTCAGTCTTATTTTTTTTCCTATATATATTATATGGCCTTCCAAATACCGTTTCGATCCCTAACATCACTGTCGAAATCCGGATATGGTGTACAAATTTTTGCACCTCATGTTTGCGGTATACCATCTTTCCGTAAGTTTATTGTTTTCTGTTTGGTATTTAATTAATATGTAAAATCCATTTTTTACATCTGGTGATCAATTTATTTGGTAATAGCCAATGGCAGTCAGCAGGGTTTAAGAACATCAGTTGTTCGACCTGTTAGTCAAATGCGTTTTGTTAAAATATACTTTTTCACTTTTTGGTCTTTTGGAAAATGTTGTTTGTGCTGTATTTAGACCCCTCTACCAAGAAATTTGTTTTACATGCACACGTATAAAAATTGCGGTTTTTATCCAACGCAATCATAGGTTTGAACGTTGTTTTCAATTAAGACGTGTATATATATGTATATATATATATATATACATATATATTAGATAACTGTTTCCTTTATATTCAATGGAACAAGAAGCGAATTCGTTAGCGAACTAGAGTAACTATAGAAATAGCGTCGTTACAGGTCTTCTTCTGACCGGCAATAAATCCTTAGCAGTAATGATAGTCGAACGTCCATTGGGTTGTGCTCAGACACGTCCGAATGGGGACGCTGAATCCTTGCAGCAACTCTTCAAGTGGACTATAAGTAGCCTGGTATTAGGCCAATTTTCTGTCCATCCTTTTTCGTTGGCAGTCGAAATTTTCCGACCGTATCACGGGCGGTCTCAATTACAAGACCTACATGTACCTATCATATATTATTCGGTACGTCAGACACACCCGACATTAATCAACCAAAACTCAATATTTTACAGTAGGGAATGAATATCTCCAGATGAAGATTACATTATGACATATGTTTTTTTTTTAAAGACCAACAAATCGATTTTTATCACCAAATTTGTCTTTGCTGAGATTAACACTAAAAAAGTATAACAAAACGTAACGATTGAAAACTCACAGTTCAGTTTTTAAGATATTTTTTTCTTTGGAAACTAACAGACTAATTTTCAAAAAGTTTTTTTCTTGAACCATTATTTATGAAAACGAATTGTAAACAAAATTTATTCTCAAATATTAATAATGATCAATGATTGTAAAGAAAAAATCCATCATAGTAGTTTGTTAATTTACTGGCTCCATGGTGTTAAACATGTCACCTTTCTTTTAAAATAACTGATTAAAAATATGAAGCCTTTACTGTAAAATAAATCATTCTAATAAAAATAAATTCATCCAGATTTTTCTCTCATAACTTTTCAACAGTTATTGTAAACTAATTTATTCGAACTATAATAGTCCTATGACTTGCTGTCCGTTTACCAATATTTATACTTTATAAAATGTTTTCATATTCATTGATCATTAACTTCATGTTTTGCGAATACTTATAAGGGGGTAATTATTATAGTCAGTAATAGCTAACAATTTATCTAAAGAAAACGAGATGCTATATTCAAATTCTGAGATATGAATCTAGTTCTTTAAAAAAAAATTCTCCACAACAAAAATTCTACACTTTCATTTATCTGGGTCTTTTTGTCTCCGCTTCGAAGCCGCCATCCCGTACCAGACATATTTATTCGTTTGGCAATATACAATCATGTAAGCAATATACAACAGGCAGTAGATCTGAATTTGTAAATTGTTATTTTGGATTTTACCTGATTAGGACGTGTCTCGTTGAATTTTCTAATAAACTTACACACACATAATCTGACTTTTAATCGTAATGTTATGAGATCTATAAGAACATAGAGCTACTGTATAGGCCTAGTTGCATGCAAGTCTTTACAAATTATATATTTTGGTATGCTATAGTTGTTTTTATAGACTATTTGTCATTTGGCCTTTTTTTTGTTGTTGTTTTTTTAGTTTTTGACATGGCGTTGACTCGAGTTTGATATATTATGCATCTTTTGTGCTGTATTTTAACAATTATTTACAAGCATGCTGCATGTTTACACATTCATCACTATACCGCATCTAAATATAGCTTTATTGTAAAAAAAAATAAGGAGATGTAGTATGATTGGTGATGAGACAACTATCAACCAGAATTTAAAATACCTTATATAAGCAATTGTGACTTACTTTCTTTACTCAGAGTGATCGTAAATTAATCAGATAAGCTGGAGGAGGGGTGGGGGCTTCATATAGACCCATATTAAATGAAAAGAAATTAGCATTAGCTTTTTGTGATAAATATATAATAAACTCACAGTAACAGAAATAGCTCTTGAAAGCTCTGTCAGATCCCGGCACTTTTAACTGTTTTTTGACACGTGCTAAAAAATGCAGCACCTGGTTACAAGGGCTTATTTGACAAATTATCATCTTTCGTAATCTAAGTTATAAAATCTAAATTTTAAGTGATCTAAAATGTTCATGACTAACGAGTATTTTCACTTGTACGATTTTTCTGTGAAATGAGTCTAAGAGTATATACATGTATATCAGGATACTGACTGCATAGTAAAATATTTATGTACCATTAGTTGCGACTCATTTTGGTCTTTTAAGTAAGTTTCCTTCCCCTGCATTACTTGATCGCTTTTGTAAAAAATAAACAGCACAACAACAACAGCACTCGACGTCAGTATTGCACCAAAAAATGAAAAAAATATTCAAAAAGAAGGCTCATAAAATTCAAATATTGGTAAGCACACACACTAACTTGTCACTACAGACATGATCTGTTTGTTAATGCGCCAAACTCGTTTCGTCCACAGGACGATGTCGATGGTGGGGAAAACCTAGTCCAAATAATTATGACGTCTTGCAAGGCTATTTAGCCGTCCCAGAAAAAAAAATAGCCTTGCCAGACGTCATAATTATTTGGACTAGGGAAAAACCAACAAATCATTAGTTCCCCAAATGAGTATCCTAGTTTAAAGTTTTTTTTTAATGTATACATGATTTAGCTATTTCATATTGGAATGGCACATATTCATGAAAAATCAACAAATGATCTGAAAGTCGGAAAGATGAATATAGTCCTCTGACTTCACAAACTTGGAAACAGTTGTGATGTTGCTTCGCTGAGCTATAGATAACCGTACGACCATCAACAATGAGCAAAATTCACACCATATAGACATAGGTGCTTGAGGACAGGAGTCGAGATTCACGTTGATAGTAAACATGCATATTAAGAGTAAAAATATGGTATATTAGTATGTATATGGTACAAATAAGTGATATATATTGAAAAATCTAAGATTTATGATAATAAGGGGGAGGGACTATGGGGGGGGGGGGGGGGGGGGGGGGGGGGTGGGGCTCAAAACAGGATCCTGTCCTCAAGCACCTATGCATATAGAAAGCTGTAAATATAATAAAAGGCCTCGAAATGACAAATGTAAAACAAATCAACAAGAAGCCTTACATTTATAATTGAATTTAAAATAGAATTGAAAATAGAAATGGGGAATGTGTCAGAGAGACAACAACCTGCCCAAAGAGCAGATGAGTCGGTCACCAATGTGACTTCAATGCAGCGAGAAAATCCCACAGCCTGAGGCGTGCTTCAGCTGGCTCCTTAACAAAAATGTATACTAGTTAAGTGATAATGGACGTCATACTAAACTCCGAAATATATAAAAGAAACTAAAATTAAAAATCATACAAAACTGACAAATGCCACATATAGGCTCCTGACTTGGGACAGGTGCAAAAATATGGTGGGGTTAAAAGCCTATATACTGTAAATTTCAGAAATTGTTGCATGTATTTATTAATATTGCCAATTAACATAATCATGATAATTTCCCTTTCAATTTAAAAAAAAAATTCTGATTTAAGTTTTTATTGTATATTGAGACTTTGGATAGTCTCAAGAATGCTTTCACCAATTTTTATGAAACTTTGGTGAATTGATTTTAAATATTGACATAAACTCCCTTTACATTTTTATGACCCATAGTCATGTGATAGTGGGTCAACCCTTGACCGTCTGTCCGTCTGTCCCAAAGTCATTGGTTTTTGTTCTCTAATTTAGTTTGCCTCAACCAAATGTTATAAAACTTTTACAAAAGCTTATTACCACAATACTCAGATCAAGTGTGAATTTTGGTGGTGTCAGTGTTACCGTTCTAGAGTTATGCCCCTTTACAAATGGAAAAATTACTGAATTTTTGGTTTCCGGCTCTCTATCTTTAACTTTAGTTTGCCTCAACCAAATGTTATGAAACTTGCACACAATGCTTATTACCACAAAAAACAGTTTGAATTTTGGTGGTGTCACTTTTACTGACTCAGTCTGTTCTAGAGTTATGTCCTTTACAGATGGAAAAAATGATGAATTTTACGTTTCCGTCCTCTAAATTAAGTTTGCCTCAACCAAATTTTATTAAACTTTAAAGCAATACTTTTTACCACAAAATCAGATCAAGTTATAATTTTAGTAGTATAAATTTTACCGTTCTTCAGTTATCTTCCTTTATAACTTTATATGATATGCAAGCCGGAGTATCATCCCCTATTTATTTTTATATAAGATGCAGAGTTATGGAATTTTAGTTGTTGGAAAATTGTTTAAAATTGTCCATTTTCACACTTTGGAAGGTTTTAGAATTGTATTTGTTCAAAAATCACGGCCTTAAACTTACAAAATGTATATACACTTGCAATATCCCTTTAAATGGAGCCAAATTATTTTCATGTTTTGTTTCAATGAATACCACTCTGTGTGCATGTCCTTTTTTAGCTCATCTGGCTCGAAAGGCCAAGTGAGCTTTTCTCATCACTTGGCGTCCGTCGTCGTCCGTTGCCGTTGTTAACTTTTTACATTTTGAACTTCTAGAGAACCACTGAATTCCTTATGAGGTGCTGACCAAGAGTTGTTACTTTGTTGCCGATCTATCATCCAAGATGGCCAGCAGCGGGGGACTTCGTTTAAGATAGGACCCTATAGGAAATACATACAAATGTCTTCTTTTAGAGAACCACTGAATGGAATGAAACCAAACATAGCATGAATGTTCCTTATGAGGTGTTGACCAAGTGTTGTTACTCTGTAGCCGATGCATCATCCAAGACGGCCGCCAGCGGAGTAGGACAATATTAAACCAAATATGGCCTCAATCATTATTAAAGTATCTGTTATGATTTTTATCTTTTTTATATGATTTCAAAAACCCAAATAGAGTCAGGTGAGCGACACAGGCTCTTTAGAGCCTGTAGTTTTGTTTTTTGTAGGTGGGTGGGGGGTCTTAGTTGCGCAGTGCTCAGAGTTTTTCTATAATGTAGTTGATCATTAAAATTCATTTAAAGCATAAACCCAAGCTAAAAGGGCAACAAGCTTATCAAGCACTCATGGTACAGCTTTTTATTAAACACGTATTGATATATACATTAAACAGCAAAATAATTATTTATGCAAGATGTCATTAAATAATAATTTTTACTCTTTTTATGTGTAGGACAAGAACTATAGAAGATGCAGAGAAATTATAAACAGCAGAAATGATAGGTAATTTAAAATTTGCAGAAGTCAACAAAACCTAAATGGTAAGTAAACTCATCATAGATACCAGGATTAAATTTTGTATTTACGCCAGACTCACGTTTCGTCTACAAAACACTCATCAGTGATGCTCGATAAGACTCATAAGGCCACTTTTATAAAAGTTATTGCCCTTGAAAGATGATTATCATGATTATTATAAAAATAAAAAGATGTGGCATATTAAATATGAAAACTATTGATCATTGCTCTAAGATAGCAATTATAGGCCAGTGACGGCCTTCAATAATGAGAAAGTCCATACCCTATTGTCAAAGTAGTCAGCTATAAAAGGCCCTCAGACGAAAAATTGAAATAATCCCAACTGTAGAACTAATTGCCTAGTTTATAACAAAACAAATTCAAAAAAAATAAATATGACAGATATGAAACAACTACAACCACTAAATTTGAGTGTCAGAATAAACTACAGGCTCCGAACTTGGAACAGGCACAATCAGAATATGGCAAGGTTATATTAAAATAAGAAGATGTGGCATGATTGCCAATAAGACAACTCTTCACCAGACAACAAATGACATACCGGTAGATTTCCTGCAAAAAAATAAACAGTCCGAACTAAGCAGGAAATGTATACCTTTCTCTTAATCGAAAAGACACAAAGATCTGTTAGTACTCACAGCTACTGACAGTTAGTTAAAAATCAATAAAAACTAATACATGTAATAAAAAAATCAGGTTTGTGAGCACTCAACCCTTCCTTAACCTTGGACAGTGGTTAAACAGCTCAACATATATAGAACAAACTGTAAAAATAACCGTTGCAATTGCCTCAACTCGAAAGATTGATAAAATGCACAAAATCAACTACCGGGGTAATATAAAAACCCATAGACAAAAAGCACGGAATTATGAGAACTCACAAGTCATGCAAGTAAGAAAGGAAATATTCTTAAAATGTTCATAAACATGACAAAATAAGCTTTTTTATTGCTGTTTCTCTCTCCATTTATAACATTTTATTTGTTTATTTTGTGTATTTATAGGTGATCAGACATCTTGGTTTTCATGATCAATAGGTCAATACTGAAGAGGAAACTGAAAGTTGATATCTATCTACATGGTGCGCTAATTGGATTAATGTGAAATGAAATGTGTGCTTTCCTGCAAAAAAGAAATAGGAAATTTCATCATAATCACATGATAATGGCTATAAACAAAATGGAGTTCTATCATAGATGCAGAAAAACACAATTGTATAAATGCAACATCATATTATATATATTCGTCAAAAGAAGGGAGAAATGAAGAAAAAAATAGCATTTTGTTGTTGAAAGGAACACCAGCTTTATCCACTCATTTACATCGCTCCCTCATATCAAATATACTGAAGAAGATCTTCGAAGAACAAATTGCAAAAATGTTTTCTCTAAGAATTGAAGGAAATTGTTTAGTGAATGGAATAATTTATGTTATGAACTTTTACGTAGTGAATTGAATAACTGTACACAGCAGCTGAAACAGAGGAAAATTAAAATTTACAAGAAAAGTCACTGTGTTTATTTTATTATTTAATTTGCAAATATGAACGCATTCTTAAGAACTCCACAAATGGTATGACATTCAAATTGGTTGCTTATTAATGTATACAATTGAAACAATAACAAAGAAAACAGAATACTTTGCTACAAAAAATATTTTAAAAATCAAAGTTAAAGTCATATAAAGTATGTACAATACCTTGACCTAAACAGTCAGACTCACTATATTGGTTTTGTATGTCATGATAATTTTGAGTCAAAAATTTATTAAAGTTTAAATATCATTTGTATCATTTATTAAGTCTTGTAAACATTATGTTCATACTGTTTGTATAGTGAAGAAATTTACAATGAGTAAAAATAGGGGAAAGCATTTCCTACAGGGAAAGTTGATGTACAGAAATTTCCTTAGAGGAAATTTGGAGAACAATGTTTTCCTTAGAGGAAATTTGTGGTATTGAATTTTCCCTCAAGGAAAAGTGTTTGTTAAATATTTCCTCAAAGGAAATTGCAGTTGACAAAATTTCCTCACAGGAAAAAGTATTTCCTCCAAGGAAAATTTGAAGCTGCAAATTTCCTCAGAGGAAAATTTGAAGCCTCAAATTTCCTCAGAGGAAATAAAATTTCCTCAAAGGAAAATTTGAAGCCGCAAATTTCCTTACAGGAAATAGAATTTCCTCAAAGGAAATATTAATGCAGCAAATTCCCTAAGGGAAATCTTTTTCCCTTGAGGAAAATACAATTTCCCTTAAGGAAAAATCTTTTTCCTTTAGGGAAATTTGATTTCCCTTGAGGAAAACAACTTTTCCTCTGAGGAAATTGTTGAAAAAAGGGGCATAACTTTTTCAACAGTGGTGCTAGAGCCAAAATTTTTTAGGACAAATATCAGGGAACCAATACCAACCAAGTTATCAACTTCATTTTGACTTAACTCCAAAAAATAAGGTGACAACTTTTGCACTCAGCGGAAGTGCAAACTTGTCCCGGAGACTGTTCATGGTACATGTACATTTACTTCATGTTCCTAAATCATAAGCTATCAACATACATGTATTTCCTATATATACACATGAGCATTTACTGCACAAAGCTATCTTTACCATGTATACCTTATACTTATAGATATTATAGCATTTTCGTGGATTGAGGAAAAATTGCATTTTCGTAGATATATTTAACTTGATTTTCATGGCTTTGGCAAAGTCTACATACAAGCCCATAGATAATGTGTACTTTGATGAATATTTAAATTTGTGGTTTACCATCTTCCTACATTTACACCCAAGAAATCCATGAAAATTGGTATCCCACGAAATATGACGAAAAATTCAGATTTCAGTCTTCTTTTTATGCCACAGACCCAAAGCTCATTTTGATGTAAATTATATCTAGATTCTATCTTCCCGTAGAAGACAATGATATAGGAATGAAGGCCATTTTACAAGCCTTGGCTGGTTGCTTCATGTAACATGTGTAACATTGAAGACTGAATATTCTTAAATCTGCTTTAAAAACATATTTCTTACAAAATGAACAATGTTCTATACCTGATATTCCTAAGTCTGCTATGACTACATATTTCCTATATTGTACACTGCTAATATTTTCAAACATGGCATCTATTACAAGGAATACTAAACAGAAAATGAATGCTAAGATGCCAATTCCTGTCCCATATCCACACGCATTATTGTCACCATGCATCTGACATTTATCTCCATGCCAACCTTCTGCTATGATACAACCAAATACTATAATGGACCATATCTATTAAGTAAAAATACAAAAATTTTAATGTACATTTATCATGTTTATCTCCATGGCAACATTCACATGCGACTACGTTTTCTAATAAATGTCTTTTTGGGTATTCAGCAGTGTGGTGGTGAAAAGACCGACATGTAGACTTAGCTGGTCATGGGTATGACAGCTCAAAGGTTACACATGCATGGTCCTGCATAGCATATGATAGATCAATGATTAGATGCTATTGCATATATGACAGCTCAATGGTTACATGAAGATAACTGCATTACTCATTAGGGCAACAATAGTATGCATGGACATCTTATGCTGATAAATCAATAGATTTCGAAGAAATAAACAATAGACTATTGAATAGAAAAGCAAGGATTTAATTAAAATTTTCCAGGGCAGTGGTAGCCCAGTGTTTTAATGATCAAGCAAAAACGCATAAGCCCAGCTCATATTTTAAGGGCCATGGACTACTGGACCCCTGCCTATCGTAATCCTTGAAAATGCATCTTCTGTTCATTCTTGTAAATCACAAGTATTGACAAGTTGTTTTTTTAGACAGGGTCATGATTGTGGGTTGTGCTTACTGTGTTTATAGTGAATATCTATTTAAAAAAGTGGGAATTCAAGCGTACCAAACTGACAGCTCGCAATATGACTTGTGGTTTCTTGATAAATTCTAATGGATCAAAGGGGGTACCAGCTTTACCAGCACCATACGCACCCCCACTTCCCTGTGCCGTCGACATTTTCCGAACACAAAATCACGAGGAAATGACGTCACGAACATAAACAGGGAAATGTTAAAACATGGTTGAAGATCCTGATCACAAATTTTCTTTGGGTTTTTTTATTAACGGTACTATCAAAATCTTTGATTACACTAGCAGTGGCGGATCCAAGGGGGGGGGGGGTCCGGGGGTTGGAACCCCCCTTTTTTTTTACGATCAGTGCATTTGAATATGGGGACATACAGTTGGATCCCCCTTTATCCTGGGTTAGGAACCCCCCCTTTTATAAATGGCTGGAAGTGCCCTGACTAGCTACACATTGTTTTCGATTCATTCGTCGAGATAAGATAAGAAAACTTGAGTTTGATTCGAAATGTTAAGTACGAACAGAGACATGTTGTCTCTGGTACGAATTACAAATCCTTGAGTACTGTAGGGATCATCCGGCTTCAAACAAATTGCAATTCCAATTTAATCTATAAGTAAAAAAATATAATTCTGATTCATACTAATAAAAATTCAGTACAAACCAGAACCCCAATATTTACTGTGAAAATTCGGATATACAGGTCTGTACTTAGTCTATGAGGATTCGGAATTGTATTACCGTTCTATTGTTTTGTCAGTAAGTGGTTTGTACCACACCTTTGTCCTGGTGATTTTGTAACATTTGAATTTCCCCCCTATTTAAACTTATAATAAACTTTGATGTCAGTTTGAATCCATGCAGGGACTATTACCATTCTCTCTGGTATCTTTCTATTTTGATTCATTTCTCCTTAAAAGTTAAATTTCCCCTTCCACCTTCCACCGTTGTATTTTTTTCTCAGTAAATATAAAAATTAAGGAGTTGTGGTGTGATTGCCACCCTGTATCTGTATCTTGTCTTCACCTCCTTGATAGATCAGTGATTTCTCACTAAAAGTATAAGTTAAAAATAATTTTCTATCCACAATGTTAAAAAATATTCCATCACCATATATATACATGTATATAAGCATCATGTATATTCTTAAGAACACATTGTATATGTACAGCATATAAAAATATCTCTCTCTGTTAGTTATTTCTTCACACATTTAAGAACTCATACATGTGATGTATATAACGTAAAAACTAAAAAAATATTTGTCCTGCCTATCTTAAGTTGAATCAAATTTTAATTCATTTGGTTTAGAATTAAGCTATATGCTTTGATATTTTATGATTTAAAAAAATGACATTCAATAAACCTAAAATATGGTATAGTTAAAATTTAGCATTATTAAAAGGATATATGGTAAATTATGAGGCATTTTCATTTAAGAGACCCTATCGTTTCCTGTTTTTCATATCAGACAGCATCCCATATCTTGCTCTATGAATGTTACATGTGTTATATACACATATCTGCGACACTGAAATTCTAATGCAGATAACGTCTTGATGCTTATTTTTCTGTTGCTATGTCCAACATTTTCCCTAAGGAGATTTGAGCTGTCCAGTATACTGTGGATGTTATCATTATCAGATAGGTACTTCATTTCTCTACTATAGTAAGATTATAATATTCGTTCATAAGATCTTCCATTGAAGTTTTTCTATAGTGTTCTCTAATAGTGTACATTTCCATAGAAAATGGGATAAATATTCATCTTCTTGTCCACACAGAAGGCAGGTAGCTTCAACATTATTTTAATCAAATTTAGATCTATTTTCTTGGAGAATATAAGTTCCAGTTACTAGTTTTAACTTGATAGGAAGACGATTTATGTCTCGTGCAGATGATGTATGGATATAAATCAAAGAGTGTTGTTTTCCAGGATTGTATTCTTCAACATTTAAATGATTTTACATTCCTGTATAGCTTGGAGATATCTGTAAAGTAATTTTTCAAATATTTATTTATATTATTATAGATTAGGTTTTTCCACCGAATTTTGGTATGTAGAGTGTCTAAAAGATATATTTCCGCAAGATCATATTTATGGCATGGTATTGGTTGCAAAAATTTGATATTTTTCATTTAAATGCAATATTTCTTATTTAATTGGTATATTTCTTCATTTAAATGCAATATTTTTTTATTTGAATAGTATGTTTTTTCATTTAAATGGCTATATTTTTTATTCAGATGGTATAATTTTTCATTCAAATGGTATAATTTTTCATTCAAATGGTATAATTTTCGTTCAAATGCAATATTTTTTATTCAATTGGTATAAAATGCCATTTGAATTCAATATTTTTTATTCAATTGGTATAGTAGTTTTTTATTTATATGCAATAATTGCATTATGGGAAATTCTTTGACTCATAAGGTCAAATTTGCAACAACGTTTGTGATTGGTCGGTAATTGTTTGGATTTCTCCCCTTTCTTTCTAAACTTGAGTGACCAAGAATTAAAAAACGCGTCAGAATATCGCCCCTCTAACTAAATTTGGCGTTCGTGCGAGTTCGTGAACTGGCTGTTAATGCCAATAATGGCCAGGATGAGCAAAAAATGCGAGTGACCAGTAATAATAAATAATTTGACACACAACTTGTTCATGGATAGAAACAGATGCCTGCGTGCATGGCAAAAACACCTCCAATGAAAACCTTTTCTAAAGAAACTCTCCTACAGTCTACACATTGAAATAAAAAAATATACATAGCTAGCCCCCCTCCCCATTCTAAGTCCAGATACATGTAATCATGACGTTCTTTAGTGCTATATCATTTTTTACTTTTCTTGATCCTCGGAGACGTTGCAGGAAGGCACACATGAAAAAAGAATAAAAAGCATCCAGGACGTTACAATTATTTGGACTAAGCCCCCTATTTTTTACTACATGTAGAAAAAAAATCACCTAATTACGAGGGCCTGATGGGTTATTTTCGTTCTTCGTGATCGGCGCATTTTCGCTATCGTGATCCGTTTTTCTACAGATTTTTTTTTTATATTTTCGTGATCCGTGATCATGGAAATTTATTTTCTGTGAATCGTGAATGACAAAAAAATCAACTCATGAATCGTGATAAGACCCCCCTCCCCCATCAGGCCCCTCAATTACGACAGCAGAACCAGAAACCCACAAGTAGAGACATATAAGCTGTTATACTCCAGAACTAATTCTTTAATAAAGACAACTCAGGATAAATTGGAACCAGTTACTAACCCATGTTACAACAATACAATAGTCCTATGACATGGGACTTCACTATATGAGGCGTGAACTTCATGTTTAATACTATCTATAATATGTGCTCTCATTTCTTATGCTGCAAATCATTTTACATTTAGGATTCGTTGCTGAGCTTTTTTTTACTGTTCTCGTCTCCGAATCCCTTAAATAGATTTTTTTTCAAGCCCCACAGTAGTTCAATAATTACTATATGTCTTTGCATAAATAAGTATGCAGGGCATATTTCAAAACATATTTTATCTTCAGGACTTTTAAATGATTTACATTTCAATACTGCATTTGGAAGGGGGGTATACAAGTTTATGGTTCAAATTTAGATATTTGTATAGAGATGTATATATGTGAGTATTGGCAGTAATGGTTATGATGTGTGTGTGTGAGGGTAGGGGTTTCAGATCAAAGATCGATTCTATAATTCTATATCTTTTAGTTTTTACCATTTCACTCTATTCTTTATCCTTTGATCTCTATAATATTTGTCCTAAACATGCGTGACATATTTGCCACTGGACATAAGGCAACCAAAAGTCAATCAACGTATTCTGTATATTTCATCATTTCTTTATTATGTTATCTATAAGTTTGGTCCCGCCCCTTATCTATTTTTTTGCACATTAAGGACTACATCAAAAGTTCAATGTAGGATAAAAAAACTTAATTCATATAGTTTTTTTCACTGACCCCCTACCCCCACCCCCCATCTTAACTTAATTTGGGAAAAATTGATTGACCATTGACCAATAAGGATATATATAAAATCGATGCTATTTAAACAAAACTTGCAACAATTTTGACCCCCCCCCCAAAAAAAACTATTTGAATTAAGTTTTTTTATCCTTCATTGATTTTCTGATGTCGTCCCTTATCCTCTCTATGTAAACCCAATTCATGTCCTGATAGATGGTGACTCATGCATAGCATCATATGTGGTTATTAAAACAAGAAACATATTCATATTATAATAATAAATGTATGCTAGGACTTATAGATAGATGTCATTAGTCCCAGGTCATGTAATAAAGTAGGTCTTATTAAAATACAATAGCATTTTAATTTTGATGATTATATATATGTTTATATATTTAATAATGCCATTTTTTTTAAAAAAAGGTTAGGGGCAAGGCGTTTTTAAAACATATCAATGGGGCGCGTTTTTTTTTTTCTTCGGAAGTGAGCCAGAAGAAGTCCATTTCTGTTTTTTTTTGCATTGGGAAGATCTTCTGGCTCTCTTCCACCTCTTCTTTTTTGATAGGTTGACGGCAGAGGCACATAACAAACATGGCGTCGTTTAGTCTAAATGAAATTAATAAATTTATGAATGCAGATGTATTAGAATGTGAGCTGTTTTATAAACGTTTGTATGGTATGACAGCCTTAGTAGGACATCCCTGTAGGACGATAAGCTGGATAAATATGACATCCCTGTAGGACGATAAGCTGGATAAATATGACATCCCTGTAGGACGATAAGCTGGATAAATATAAGAACTACACGGACAATAACAGTTAAGGGACGATTATTTGATATTCTAGGGAAGGGATTTTGATTGATTGGTGTGTAACGCTACTTTCAACACTATTGGGCTATTCCGTGGTGGTCAGTTTAAATTTATAGATGAAGGATGGGGAAGGGAAGAGAGGGCATTATTATTCATTTCAATCTGTCGCTAATCATGCCTATTGTTCAGCTCTTACCATGCAGGCAATCATATTCATATATGAAATCCTGTCCCCCACCCCAACAAATAAATAAATATCAAATGGTTTTCCTCTTATTTAACACAAGTTTAAATTGATTGATTGTTTGTTGCTAATTTTAACACCCAGTGAAAATTATTTCATGCTTGTTCAGGAAAACACGAGTTTAGA